TCCAAGGAGCATTTCAACTTCACCCTCTCTAGGACAAACCTGTTTGTTCTCCTAGCAGTCCATGGTATATTCAACACTCTTATCCAGCACCACAGCTCAAAGGCATCAATTCTCTTTCTATCATCCCTAGTCACTGTACAACTCTCCGATGCATAGCATGTAATTGCAAAGACTATAGCCTGGGTCAGGCGCACCTTAGTCTCCAGCCTGACGTTGTTGCTCTTCAGTACTCTTGAGAGGTCCCTCACAGCTGACTTTCCCAATGCAACTCATCTCCTGACTTCCTGGCTGCTGTTACCAAGAGTTTTGACTGGAACCAAGTAAATGAAGACTGTTAACTATCTCAATCTCTTCACCATCCATACTGATGCTGCCAATTGGCCTACTGGTGAGAATCTTTGTTTTCTTGATGTTGAGCTTCAATCCATATGGAAGACTGCAGTCCTTGACCTTCTGCAGCAAGCGCATCAGGTCCTCCTCAGTTTCAGCAAGCAGCATTGTGTCATGTGCATAATGCAGGTTGTTGATGATTTTTCCACCAATCCTAATGCCACATTCCTCCTCCTACAGTCCAGCGTCTCGGATGATCTCTTCTGCATACAGATTGAAAAGGTTTGGAGACAAAATACATCCCTGACGGACCGCTTTCTTGATTTTGAACCATCCAGTGTCTCCCCTGCTCTGTTCTGATGACTGCCTCTTGGTCCAAGTATAGGTTTCACATTAGCACAATCAAATGTTTTGGGATTCCCATTCTTCTCAGAGTCAGCCATAGCTTGTTGTGATCCACACAGTCAAAAGCCTTTGCATAGTCAATGAAGCGCAGATAGACCTCTTCTAAATCTAGCCTGCACATCTGGCAGTTCTCTGTTGAAATATTCTTCCAAATGTTTTTTGATAGTTTTCAGCAGAATCTTGCTTGCATGTGATGTCAATGATATTTTTCGATAATTTCCACACTTTGTTGGATCACATTTCTTTGGAACGGAAACAATATCAATCTCCTCCAGTCAGCCGGCTGGCTGTCCTCCAGATTTCCTGGCACAACTTAGTGAGCACATCCAGGGCAGTGTCTGTTTGTTGAAATAAGTCAACTGGTATGTTGTCAACTCCTGGAGGCTTGTTTTTTGCCAATTCCTTCAAAACAACTTGAACTTCCTCCTTCACCACCATAGGTTCTTGCTCGTATGTTATTTCATGAAATTCCTCTGTGTCAGCCAATTTCTTCTGATACAGTGACTCTGTGTACTCCTTCCATCTTCTTTTGATACTTCCTGGATCATTCAACATTCTACCCAAACTATGTAAGTATTGCCACCCGTGGCTTGAATTTGTTTTTCAACTCCTTCAGCTTAAGAAATGCTGAGTGAGTTCGACCCTTTTGATTTTCTGGCTCCAGCTCTCTGCACATTTCATTATAGTATCTTGCTTCTTCGTCCCGAGCTGCCTTTTGAAGTTTTCTATTCAGCTTTTTGATTTCTTGATTTCTTTTAGCTTTAGCTTCTCGGCGCTCTAATGCAATACTCAGAGTCTCATCTGACATCCATTTTGATCTTTTCTTCTTCTTCAGCCTTTGTAATGATCTTTTGCATTCTTCATGGATGATTTTCTTGATATCCTCCCAGAGCTCATTTGGTCTATGCTCATTGGTGATCTAGGCCTCAAACCTGTTCCTGAGATGGTTTTGAAATTTGAGTGGGACAAACTTAAGGTCAAATCTTGGTTCCTGTAGACTTGATTTCATTTTCCTCAACTTCAACTTGAACTTGCATATGAGTAGTTGGTGGTCTGTCCCACAATCAGCACCTGGCCTGGTTTTCACTGCTGATATTGAGGTTCTCCAGCGAGTCTTTCCACAAATGTAATCGATTTGATTCCTGTGCATACCATCATGTGAGATCCATATGTGTAGCCTGCGTTTATGTTTCTTAGAAAAGGTATTTGCAATGAATAAATCATTGAATGTGCAGAACTCTATCATTCTATCTCCAGCCTCATTTCTCTCACTGAGCCCGTGTTTTCCAGCTACTGATCCTTCTTCCCTGTTCCCAACTTTTGCGTTCCCCTCGCCCATTATTATTAATGCATCTTGATTGCATATTTGATCAATTTCTGACTGCGAAAAAATATTCCAGGAGGAAAGAAAAATTAGAGAAAGGAGTATCAGGACCCTGGTGAAAGGGAGAATGGGAGCAATGATGTTAAATGGGGTGGGCCTTCTAAAGAAATGAGATATAAGAGGACTGAAAGAATTCAAAGGAGCAACTCATTGGGCTGCCCCAAATAACCCAGGCAGCCACTGAAGCTGAAAGGAGGCTGACCACTAGGTTTGGGGAGTAGTAACAGACGACATTAGTGAGATGAAGGGCAAGGAGAATTGGGCCAGTGAGACCCTGGAGGCAATGATGAGGATGTGGTTTTTATTTAAGCAGAAGCCATTTAAAGAGTAACACATCAGCTTCTAATTTACCACATGCTACTCTGGGGGCTGAGTTAAGAATAGATTCTAGGAAAGTGCCTGTTCTAGTGGAGTAGCTTGCATTGGATTAAACTTCCTACACAAAACAATCATGAATGCTGAATAAAATAGAAAAGCTCATTATTTGAAGGCAACACACAGGCAGAAAATAAATGGCATCCAAGCATGATTGTTGTTAGGTGCTGTTGAGTCAACTCTAACTCATCACTGCCCTCTACACCACACATTGAAACCTTACTGGATCCTGGGCCATCTTTATGATACCTGCTGTGCTTAAACTCACTGTGGACATCACTTGTCACTCCAGCTCATTGAAGACATTCTTTTTGTGGCCCTCCATATTTGCAAGCATGATGTCCTTTTACAAAAACTGGCCCCTCCATGATCATGACCCTTTAGTGTGAGATAGAGTCTCACAATACTTGTTTCTCTTTTTTTTGTTTTGTTTTTTTTATACAATACTTGTTTCTAAGAAACACTCTGGTTGTACTTCTTCCAAGATGGATGTTTTGTTTTGTTTTGTTTTGTTTTGTTTTTGGTGGTTGGCAGTCCGCGGTCTATTGAATTTTTTCTCAGCCCCACAGTTAAAAGGCAACAGTTATCCTTCTGTTTTCCTTCTTTATTGTCCAACTTTGAACATGCATGTGAAGCATTTGAAAATACCATAACTTGGGTTCGGTACACTTTCATTTTTAAACTGACACCTTGCTCTTTAGCCTTTTAAAGCAGTCCTTGACAGCAGATTTGCCCCCTGTAATACAAGAATTCAACCTTTGAAAGAAATTCACTGGATGAGATGCATGTTAATCCAGGGTTTCCCTAGAGGGCATGCCCTGCCCGGTAGCCTCAGGCTCAAGCAGAGAACTTCAATCCTTTTGATTTCATCAAAGGATGAAGTTTGAGGATGGCAAAGCTGCTACAAATTAAGGGAGAAGATCTTAGAAAGATCAGGTTAGAGAGGGGTAGCCTAAAAATCTGTATACAAATTTATTTATCTCCAGTGTTTTGTGTCTCCATGTTTGAGGTCTCAGCCTCAGTTTTGCAATTACTTGCTATGAATCGGAGAGCTGGACAATGACTATGAATTACAGAAGAGTTGGTGCCTTTGAGTTGTGGTGCTGGAGAAGAGTACTGAACATACCGTGGACCACCAGGAAATGAAATAGATCCGTTTTGGAAAGGGTGAAACCAAGTTGCTCTTGGAGGGTAGGATTTTGAAG